CTAAGGGGACAGATGATAAATCACAAACAGAGAGGATACTAAATAGTCTAAGGTTTCAGTTCGGTTTGTGTGTGTGTGTGAATTATGATTACAAAACATTTGCCTGTCTGTATAACTCACATTTATTGTAATCATTACATTCTCTCATAAATTAGTGAGATAAATAAACATATGGGGACCTCAAGTAAGCAACTAAAAATCAATATAAGAGACATTTTGTTGCAACTATAATAACAGCATGGGTTACAGCTTGAGGAAACTTCTTTACAAATCATTTAGTCAGCACACATGGAGTTGAGAGACTGAAGCATCCTTGTTTATTTAAACCACCTTTAAAACCACATGAACGAGGTTTGGGGAAATCTGGACAGGGTGAACGATTTTTCCTGGGCACAATATAACATGAAGAACTGCCTATATGGATGGGAGCAGGGGGGCGTTTGCATGCACTCTGGGGTCACTATCTTGTAAACTAAATCTTCTGAACTCCAATTGCCAAGATTCTGAGGAAAACAGGAAATTATATATATAAAAAAAAGTCTCTCTCCCTCAAGCCGCTCTCCTGTCTATTAATGGCCAAAAAGGCTTGCTGATTGCTGCTAGTGAGAGGAAACACAGAATGGGTCTACTTTTAGCAGAGATTGTCTTTGAAGGAGCAGGAAATATTAACAATAACTTTGTTGCAGCCTTAGGTTCCAAGGATCCCAGGCAAGAATATTGGGAGCCTGAGGGGTCCCCAGAGGAGGCTCAGCTGACCTGACTTGGACTGACTGAGTGCAGGCCAGAGCATAGAGAAGCCTGCACACTTGAGTCAGAGCCTGTGCAAAGGGCCCCTCAACATCTGCACACCTCCACGGGCCTGGGACCTGATGTCTCTGCATTACTTTTGTTTTCCCCCAAGCAGGACTTAGCCCTAAAGTTACCAGTTAGTGTGCGTGTCTTTTCTTTTTAAAAGAAGTTTGATTTTTATCTCTTTAGAAACGGTTTGAAACTAACAGGGCAGAGGGAGTTTGACAGAGAGGAGAACAAATCGCTGACAAAGAACCTTTTACGTTTCATCAGCGTTGTTAGGACGACAGGCAGGAATGTCTCAGATAATAACTCCCACTTCAAAGATTTCTCAGCTCAATAGAAAGCGGACCATCCTTTTCATTCAACCACAAGGACTGGCACTAAAGAAGACTCCACTGTTTGATTTTTTCCACCATGTTTATTTTTCCCCTATTCTCTGGGGTACTTGGATAAAATAAACAACATGACAATTAAGGGAACATGGACTTCTAACTTTCCTGCCATCTTCCCTCTCCCCTTGGCCTTGCACTCTTGAGCTCGTGCCCAGGGCCAGCCCAGGCCTGAGGGGTACCATACACAGCACTCTAGGGAGAAGCCAGTTTGGGGGGCTGCGAGGGACTCCTGGGAGAGAGGGGCAGGATGGCCTGCCCTGGGGGCCAAAGTGGAAAGGACCGAAAGCCACGGCCTGAACTTCCCAGACTCATCCAGGGTGGCCCCCCTGCCCCGCAAGCCCCTTTCAAACTCAGGCCTCCACCTTGCTCAAGATGCAGAGAGGTCTGTGCACAAAACCGAGAGCTCGGGATGCTCACTTGCTTAGCTTCTGGGGTTGCCCTAAAGTTATTTACTCCTGACCTTGGAGCCCCTTGGAAGAGCAGCCAGGACGCGCAGAGTCAGGCCCCTCCCTTTCCAGGAAGCGCCCCCGGCCCCGAGCCCCGGCCATTAGAATGCAGAGTGAACCCCTAAAGGCCGGCGAGGGGGTCCCGGGGGGAAGGTACACTGGAGAGCGCGGTGACAGGATTAAATGGCGTGAAAGCAAAGGTCGGCGCGAATGCGGCGTCCGAGAGGGTCTGCGGGGAAGTGTGCCGCCTTTGAAGGGCCGCGGCCCGCGCGCATTTCCATGGCGAGCCTAACGCGGCGTGCGGATGCGCCGTCCGCTCACACTTTCAACCCCAGAACCCGAGCCTTTGAACGGCCCGAGCTTGATTAGACCTTTCTCCTTTTCTTTCCCCTCTTAAAAACCATTTCCTCGCCTTTAGAAACTCGCCATCAAACCCAAATGCGCCCTCTGATCACCGCAGAAAGCAGAAACAAAGGGGCCGAGCGGCGATTCAAGCGGCCTTTCTCTCCCCTCACATTATTACCCATTTTTATTATGATCGGGAACAAGTGCCCATTCGCGTGGGTTTTGTTTACCGGAAATTAAATGAAAATGATTTAGTCCGCGTCAAACAAAAATATATACTTGTATACACAGGAAAAAAGGCCTGTTAGACGTAAATATTATGTCCTTAATGAAAAGCCTGGACGGGCTCCAGCCTCGGCCTTTCAGGACTTCAGTGCGACTTGCCCATTGCCATAGAAATCCTAACTTACCATGAAGATGCACCGCGGCGGAGACGCGGCGCTTTGTGCGCGGCCCTTTGATGTCGCGGGCGAGGCGGGCTCTCAGCTGCGCGGGCGCGGGCACCGACGAGCCACGCGGAGGACATCTGTAACGAGCGGATGAAAAATTAGAGGCGATGAGTGGCCGACCAAACATTGCTATTTTATTTTATTATTCTGGGTGGGGGTGGAAGGCAACGAGTCCGCCTGGGGACGGGGGAATTTCTGAAGATCGTCAGAACAAGCAGACTGCCCAGATGCCCTGTGCCCTTCGCCGTGGGGCGGGGCGTTTCCGGGAGCCGAGCAAGATTTGCTGCCAACCCGGCCTCGACCAGGCAGCCTCGGGGCCCTACTGCAGTGCGGGAAAGAGGGGCTGGTGGACCCCCTTCCAGAAGGAGAGATTCACCAAGGATGTGTTGGGAAGATTCTGCTTCTTATTAGGAGTCATGAAAACAGTCCCACTTCAGTTAGGACATTATTTATCTGAGGAAACTGTGGGGCTGCTGGGCAGGAGCGATAATTGCCTAATGCCTCTGAAGAGGAGAGCAGAGGAAGACCCAGCAGAGTGGCAGGGCCAGGACTTGTCTGCTGGGCTCAACTTTCAAAACTGAACTCTTTAAGGGTCCCCCCTAGGTGGGAATACCACACCCCTACTTATCTCCAAATTCTTAGGGGACTGGAATGGGTCTGTGCGAGATGCCCCCCCCCCCTTTCTTTTTTTCCTCCTAAACAGAACGAGGATTTCTGGGAAGCCCCATTCTCCCGAAGGGTGGCAGGCTGAAATAGTTCCCAATCCCCTCCCCCCTTAGCAACAGTTGCAAAGGCTTTCCTCTCCCCTGACACCAACATCTGGTTCTCTTTCTGGGGACTTAATACCCGGCACATAAAATACACATCCAGACCCAGCCCTGGTTGGGTAGCTCAGCTGGTTGGAGCATCATCCGGATGCAGCAAGGTTTTGGGTTTGATCCCTGTCAGGGCACATACAAGAGTTGACCAAGGAATGCATAGGTAAATGGAACAACAACACATTGATGTTCCTCTCTCTCTCTCTCTAAAAAAATAAAATAATAATACACATTCAATCTAAGCCCATTTGGGTGTTTGCCTTTAAAACATTCGTTATTGCAGTTCATCTCTTGTCCCCTCCTTCACCTTAAAAAAAAAAGTTAAGGCCACCACTGTACTATTTTTGACAGACCACCTCAGAATTGACTCAGTTTATCCAGACCCCGTGGCCCGGGTGGGCTCCCTTTGCCGTGGAGACCTGGGCTCAGTGACGTCACTGGCTCACTGCGCTCCCAGCGCCCGCAGCCGCAGGCAGAGACCCGCAAGGGCGGGAGGCAGGAGAGCGCGGGAGGCCTGGGGAGACCTGGGGCACTGAATCCTAAAGCCCCTCTAGCACTCTTTTGCCTGAATTTCCTGTTGTTTGGACTCACCCCCCACCCCAATTATATAACGTCCATACGAAGCAGGCAGGCCAGCAGACAGATGTACCTGTGTGCTCGGGTCAGTCCACTGGGGAGGGCATGCGGTCCCCAAGGGTGCCGCGGAAACCCTCTCATCTCTTTTACAGAAGTCCTTGGAAATTCTGGGATCTGGAACTTGTGTGTTTTGGTTTCAAAGGACAGCTGGGTGATGGGAAATTGTAAGGAAGCAAAAGAGGAGGGAAATAGGAGGTAAGATATAAGTGATCCGAACTTCAGATGAGGCTCCAACTGGGAACTGAGAAAGGAGTGGGGCTGGCAATTCCAGCGGCCCAGGCCCGAGGAAAACAGTTCCCATCCTCTGAATCTCCGGAGGACTTTGTGGTCTTACTTTTGTCAACCTGAAGTTGCCAAGATTGCACATAAACTCACTCTCTCTCTCTCTCTCTCTCTCTCTCTCTCTCTCTCTCTCTATATATATA